TTTTTTTTTTTTTTTTTTTTTTTTTTTTTTTTTTTTTTTTTTTATTAGCCTGAGTATTACAAAGATAATAGAGACCAAAGTGAATAAAGGCATATCCTCTAGTAGTGAATACTAAAATACTGTATCTGTATATTCATTGTAAGGATCGTATGTGCACCATATATATGATATCGTTGTTATAAGTGTGAATATAAACTGGCGAAAATATAAACATACACAATCTTATACAACCTGTATCTATATTTATTATGTTTATGCGTATATATATATATATATATATATATATATGTGCACTATATTTATAAACACACATATGCAGTCATCCCATATACATATACATATATGCACATGCTTGAATGCAGATCTGTATGTCATCAAACTAGTGAGTGGTGTATGGAGGAGACTATGACATAAAATACTTTCATGAGTCTCTCGTCGTATGTCGCAATATATATATATATATATATATATATATATATGGGCTGGCTGAAAAATTTTCGACTTAAGAGAGAAGAAATTTTCTTTTTTATGTTCGTTTTTATTTTTCTTCATAGTTTAATAGGGCTTTTAATATAATAGAGATTTTGATAACTATCAACCCTTGCACAAACATATCTCCAAGTGCTACCATCGTAATGTTTAGGTCGGAAACTTTCCAAAGAACCTAGGCGTACACACATATGTAAATAAATACATATGCATATATATATGTTGTATGCTTTACAATTCATGCATAACACATGCTGTCGCATAACAATAACAGAAACAACCGCAACAGCCATCTACACACAAATATAATGACAACGGCAAAAAAAAATTGTCGGCATTTTTGTTACTTTTTCTTCATTGTTGTCTGTTATCTAAAAATAATCAAAACTTAACAATTAAAAATCACAGACGAAAACACAAAAAATTAACCAAAATATATATATATATATATATATATATGTAAGCAAGTAAAAGAGTTTTGAATAATTATTCAAATACTTACACAAGCACGCACACATTCACTTAAAATTACGTAAAATCTTTGCATATGTAATCATCTCAAAGACTTACATATATATGATGAATGAACTGTGAATCAGTCAACCAACCAGTTTACACACGCACAAACATACACTCGTATCATTAGTTAGTTAGTTAGTTATACTGATTGCGGCGGCTGTTCAACTGCAAATATGCTGAACTTATACTTATATATATATGTGAATATGTGTATGCATGTGTATATTCGCATATATTGCGTTACTGTTGTCTTATTTTTGCTATTGCTGTGTAGCGTTTATTGCCAAGTAAAACAACAATGTGCTAACGTAATAGTGATTTGGTCAAAGAGGAGAAAAACTTTCTTTTACAATTTCATAGACAACAACAACAGTAAAGGCTAAGAGCAACGCCTCTTATTAGCCATGGCATATAATTCAGAAAATCATGCCGCTTAACCATTGTAAATTTTTGAGCTAAATGTTACAAGAGAGCAGTCAGTGTTCGTTTGATTGAAGAAGAGAACTAAATAAATAGCATCAGCATCAGCGTCAGCTTCAGCATCAGGAAATAAAATGACTGAATGACAGATACATTTGTAAACAAGTGTCAGAGATAATGATAGAAAAGTCTTTTAATGACGATATACTGCGACAGACATGTCCAAACTATTAAGCTTTGCAGATTTAAAAGTTAATTATGTGGTTTAAAATGCACGCTGAGTAGACAACCTTATCAACAGCTTAACCCTTACGTACCCATAATATAGATGCAATGAACAATAAGGTTAACGTGACTTATACGTAATACGATTGTACGTACTCCTTATATTTTATTAGGTGCTTACAAAAATTTTGGACCAAACACGTTCAGAAGCTTATCGTGATGCTGCTCCATCGTACCCCTATCGTTGGCTTTTGTTTCACAGGTTTAAAAATGGCCTGTAGGACCAAAAAAGTTCGAAGAGAATGAATCACAAGCCTTATTGAACGAAGACAATACGAGCCAAAACTCTCACCGAGCGTTCGGACAGCTTAGCAGTTGATGAACCAACTGTTTCTAAATGCTTGCATGCAATGGGAAAGATGCAAAATTAGAGAAAATAGCTACCGTACGAATCGAATCGCTACCGCGATTTCATTGCTTTCCGAGCAAAAAAAGGAAATCTTCTACAACTTATAGCGGAATATTCATGGCCGTAACGTTTTGCTGTGCATATGGTGGAATTAACAAAGTGAAACGTGTTATGAGCTCCTAATACCGATTACAACTATTACTGCAGATATCTATTGACGCCACTTGAACAAATTGAACAATGTGTTGTTGCATAAAAGATCAGCAATAGTGGCTGAAATGGCTGTCACACGTGTGGACTGAAAATGCTATTTAAGCCACTTGTTGTAATTGATGTCAAGGATAGCCTGTTGCCGCTCGAACGGGAAATTTTGCCACGCCCAGTTCACTCATCAGACATAATGCCCCCTGATTGCCACTTGTTCAGATCCATGCAGCATGGTGTGGCTGGCACGCGGTTCCACAAATTTAAAGAAGTGCGAGAATGGGTCGATGGTTGGTTTGCTGCCAAACCAATATCGTTCTTCCGACGCGGTACCGACACTCTGCCGGAAATGTGGGAAAAGCTGTAGTAAACGATGGAAAAATATTTTGGTTAACATACGCGTACTAATTTTTCTTAATAAATGCCATTTTCAATTAAAAAACTAATCAAAATTCATATAATCACCTAATATATATATGTATATTGTTAAGGTGATATAAATGATTTGAACCCGAAACTTTTCATGTTTCATAACAGTCTAGAGGTCTTAAAAGGCATCCGTTCGTCTTTTCGACCGGAACTCAAAGCGAATTTCTGTTATCAATTATGTGAGATTAACTAGACTAGACTAACAAGAATCACTCAATATTTCGTAAATTTAATAAATAAAATGCAATAACCTTTGCATTCATATTTGCTGTTTCCATGAAAATATTATTCGAAATTATTTACATTAAATAGTTCCACTCCTCGAATCTATTTTGTTCACTTTAAAATACATTGCATTGCTTCCAGTCCACGCAGCTGCAATGGGAATTGACCCGATACTCCATATAGTCGGAAAGAAGTATGATAATCAGTTTGACTAATCAAGTCTCTTTAGCACATTGAATGAATTTAAAACGCTCTCGTCGGTTACATTACAATTTCGGAACCGGCCAAAAAGCTGTGGCGCAGTAGTTGTTAAAATGAAGCTCTATCTAAATCCGTCCGTACGGTCACTTGCTTGGGGCAAGCAAAAAAAAAAAAAACGGTTAAACCTCTTGGAATAACTTTCAAAAATTTTTGTGACGGTGTAACAACGTCAGATTCTTAAGTTTTTCCACGTTTTTGTTATTCGAGCCAACTAAAAACTATGCAGGATTGGGCAGGCAAACAAGCTCTCGAAGTTTTCCAGTTATTTCATTTTTCCAATTATATTTATGAAGAAGTTTTCAAGGAGCCCAATTGTCTTTGAACATTAAATATAATGCTAGATGTAAAATCAATTCATACGTAATGTCCGTTGAAAGAAATGCAATAAACGTTGTTAGCTAAAAGATATTTAATATCCAAGAGGTAATGCCCAATTTAAAGCGCTAAAGCGAACACAGTTTGTTTGACTTTGTGCTGTACATGTATTTTAGACGGTTTTTGAATGATATGAGCGGATGTCAATCTCAGATATATGCCTCGAACATACAATTGTTTGTTCACAAAGTATTTTAGTTCTATTTAATTTTTTATCTTATCTCTCTCTCTCTTTCTTTCTATATATTGAGAATCTTTGCAAACTATGAGTAGTCTCGCGCCTTTCACATTTTGCCGGCAAAAAGCTAAATAATTTTTCTTCTTTTTTATGAATAGAACATTATTTATATAAGAGTAATAAACTGTAGATGCTTATTATTAGTATTATATGAACACAATTATAACAAAGAGAGAGAAAGAGTAAACGATAGAGAATGAGAAAGAGCACACAGACTGGAGTTATCAAAGCACTAAGTGTTCATTTCACAATACTCTCCTTGTGCAGCTAGCTTTACACAATGCTTATGAAAAGCAGCGAAAAAATGTAGTGCAGATGTGTCTGACAAAGAAAGGCGAAAAAAAAAAAAACAGAAGAAAATGATAGTGTAGTGGTCGTGACGTAACGTTAAAACTTATGCACTTTAAAAACTCATAGAAATACAACATTCAGTGTGTGTGCTCTTTACACAACTGTGTAACAACAACTCTTTCGAAACATAGCGCTATGTTTAGTGATATAATAAACAAGCAACCATTTACTGCTCATGGATAATAATTCTCTGCATATATAAAGTTGAATACATTATATGAGAAAGAGATGAGAGAAAATGAATAAGAGAAATATGATGGCAACGTAGGTTTATGTATGCTTCACTTAACTAAGAGCCACGTACGGATGTGATTTGTTTTGTGGTATCATTCACTCAACAGCAACGGCGCTGATATGCAGTAGAAAAGTTTTTTGTATAAACTAAAGTAAACGCGAAACGCGCTTAACATTTAAGAAGTGTTGAACATAAAGTAAATTTTATAAGCGCTGCAGACCCAACTTAATATAAAAACATCGGTCGGCTTGGTAAATTATGTTAACGAGTATGCGTGTGTGTGTCTCTGTGTGTGTGTATGAGTGTCTGTGTGTACATATACTATATATTTATATATATATTTATGTGTATATATATATACATATATATGTGTATGCACGTGTGTGCGTGAGCTCATATAATTATTTACAAAAACAAAGAACAAGAAAAGTTTTTGTTTCATGTTTTTTTTTTAATAAGAATCGAAGAAAAAATATTTTAATAAAGTTAAAAATAATATAGATAAATAAAATATTTCGTTGACCATCCGTGTGTGTTAAGAATCAATTAAGAAAAAAGTTTTTTGTTATGTTTTGGCTGGTGTTCTACGCAAAAGCCTTCAAACAGCTCAAAGCAGTTACGTAAAAAAGTATCTTACAAAACAAGTTACGCCCTAAACTAAAAAATAAAAAAAAATAAAAAATTTTTTTTTTTAATAAATAGGAGGAAAAATAATAAAATCAAAAAATTAAAGAGTATCGCCTGTCATTTAGAACGGACAACACATCTGGATTACTAACGTGTTACGTGTACACCTGTCCATGCGTTGCCTACGTGTGAGTGTGTGTGCGCGTATCTATGTGCTTGGCTACATATTTATCTGATATATATATTTATATATATATGTATAAATATATATATATATATATATATATATATGTATAAATATATATATATATATGTAAATATATGTACAGATATTATTCTCAGAAAGTTCATCAAGTGTAAATTTTCCAACGTCGAAGAACAGAAGAAAAGGTAAAAATTTCATTCAGAAAAATTATGCAAGTGCTTTCGGGGTGGTGAGGAAATATTCTGTTGGGTGGACTGTGTGTGTTTGTGTGTGTCTTGTTATTATAAAAAATAAAACAGCAGAAAAACAGTTATAAAATCATTTTGCTTGCGCTTACAAAAGCAACGACCACGTCCGTAGCGACAGACATCATTGTGTGGGGCACCTCTGCTCGCAAATGAGCAACAAAGAGAATGTAAACGCAAAGACTAGCATAGCACAGCTAACATTATGAAAGCAGTCTGTATGTGTTACGACATCACAACCTCAATTCCTTCAATTTACTAATAATAACAGCGAGCGTAACACTGGCGTTGCTATTAGCTCTCGCCTGTACCCAGTTACACGACAACCATCAACAAATAGAAAAACAAGAGAATCTCTTTCCTTTTCAATTCAATTTATTTCTTCGTTTTTTTTTTTTTTTTATTCGTTTCATTGCATTGCATTTTCAATGAAAGAGAAAAGTTCAGGGAAACTTGCACACTCTTAGTCGTTATGAAATCATTTCTCTATGTACGTAAAGAGATGTGAGACATTATTGAGAATACGGTGACTCAAACTTAGTAAAAAGAAAAAAAAAAAAAATTTATTTATTTTCTTCTACATTTTCATTCAAGATTTAGCAAAAAATTGTTACGTTTCTAGCAATTATGATGATACCGATAAAGTCTCCTGGTATTACGGGTGTCTTTATGCACATGAACCGTTAATGTTGCTGTTGTTTTTCTTACCATCAAATATAAACACAACTTACGTGTTGCTATATTTATAAACACATTACGCGATATTAAGTCTCATCTCATCTACAAACCAACAAACACAATGTTTTTTTCCTCTATAAGTTGTTGTTGTTTAGTTTTTCATTTATTTATTTTTTATTATTATTTTCATTCCGATTTTATTTTTTTTATTTTTCTTGGGGCATTTCGGAGAGTTTTAATGAATTCTTATCTTTAGGCGGTATAAGCGTTTACATTTTTATTCGGATTATTTTCGTTTATGGGTTTGAGATGTGTCAGTGCTGCGTAACTCTTTCCAATTTTTCGGTCGAAACATTTAGATAAGAAACCGTTTAAGCTGACAACAATGCTCCCAGCATTCGCGATTTATCGTTTATAAAAAACGCCAAATTTGATTATGTTCTCTTGCTTTTGGCATTTATGGGAGCCACATTATAAGAAGGCGAAAAAGGTTTGCCTCATTTATCTCCAGATGTTATGAAATAACATTTCATGACTGTATACACAATAATATTGCGACAATTCATCAATAACTTTTCGTTAGTGATAATATAATCAACGAAGAGCTGAAACCTTTCTTAAACTTCTTAAAGCAAACCTTAAAGCAAAGTAATCGGCCTTTTTCACGCTTTCCTGTACAACCACGCAGCAACTGTGATTAGAGGTATTGATCGATTGAGTCTGTCGAAGTTCAGTTCTTTCGTATGATAACTAATTAAGATTATATATTATATTATATACTATTGGACATTATCTTACTACTATGTTAACATAACCGCAATTAGCCAAGATCATGGGAGGGTTATTCACAGTTAGTTAGCAAACTTAAAAATACTCTAATTCCCAGAATGTGAAAAAAGAGTAGAAGAAGAAGACAGTTTCTCTTTATTAAGTTGGCAATTTTGCATTAAGCACAATATAGGGCGATCAATTATATTGTGATTATTTATTTAGACCAAATAGGCAACATCTTCCAATGGGAATTCAAAGATGCGAGAACTTTTTAAAGCGCGAGACTCTAAGAATTGAATGATTACGATATGGTATTTAATCTTCTTGACGAAAATAACGGTGGTGTAGGCCCTTCATAAATCGTATTTCGAAGAGTACTAAGAATAGATAATCCTTATGACCAAGTTTTCTTCCTTTATTCTCTAACCATAATCTTTCCTCTTTCAAAAAAAAAAGGAGAAGAGAAAAGCCGAAAAGAAAGCGCAGCCCTTTTAGTTTTATCATAAATTTATTAATAATTAAAATGGATCCCAGTTTTAAGAAAAAAAAAAAAACTGGCACTTCTCTCTCTCTCTCTCTCTCTCTCTCTCTCTCTCTCTATCTATCTATCTATCTGTCTGTCTATCTTTCTACATTTTTCTATCTCTCCAGCTCATTACTTAATAGCAAGGTATGCTTGTCAGCTCATGCTCTGCATAAAATTGCTCATCGCCTTAAAGCCAGCAATCTTTTTACAATTTTAGTTGAACTATGTAGGATACTTCAGCCTTCGCACTCTTACGTTTATAGGCATCTGAGTTGTCTATATCGTTGAGAGCGATTTGATTGCAGTTATGATTTCAATACTTAATCCAATATAATAATACCGATGAGTTTTTCATTTTTTTCTTTTTCTCTTTCCTTCACTTTTATTTATTTATTTATTTATTTTTTTTTTACGTTGCTTTTGCTTTAATTAATATTTCAATGAATTTTTCAACATTTGCTGGCTAATCTTGATTGGTGTGATTTGCAACGTTAACCTTTGACTGGCAAACATTATTAGTACAATGTCTTCTTAGTGAAATGATTAGAATAGCTTTAATTATTTTATTGACATCAAATCGATAATGAAAATCGAAAACGGCAGCTAAGGAGCAACCAAAAATGCCCCTTCTTAATGGCCATAAACAGTTTTTTTCTTTTCTTAAGAAGATCTCTGTATCTTAACAAGTAAGATAATTATATTCAGACGCGACCGAATCTTTTAGATCTATCGCCTCTATCCATTGTATACGGTGACGATGTCCGTTAACACATTGATCTTGTCTTTCTTTCTATTCTCCAAATGCTTTTATTTGATATCCAATTGATGATACAGCTAAGAAAAAACGAATCATCCAGATGATGGACTCCACCATTTTTATATGGAAATTAACACATTTTTGGGCAGATACTACATCATCATGCGAGTAATGCATATTGTAATAATAAGCAGAAAATCTATCAAGCAAGTGAAAAAAATAGGAACTTGGTCACTTATAATCTTGAATAGCTGTGGGAGAATTTTTTTTAAAAATTTTTTGCAAGTGCTAGTGTAGGTCAATTCAAACAATACAAATGCAAATTTTTCTGGTTGTACCTGGTTAGGTTTATATGTATCGAGCAAGAAACAAAATTCTTTTTATCTTTGAAAACAGAGTTGGCTCCCGATTATGTGGTCGCGTGGCCGTGTCCCTCGACTGATTTATTTCTTTTTCAATATCAAATTGCGTGAAAGATCTTCTAAACTTTCTATCGGATTTTAAGTCGGAAGCTTCATTTTTGCGACCAAGAAAAGTTTTATCCCATAAATAACATAGACAGACAAACAAACAGACAGACAGACGGGCAGCGAGACATCCTTAAAATGGTGTAGAATTTGATGCTAATAAACAATATATATACTTTGTGGGGGGAGGCTGTGAAGGGTGGTGGAAATGTTTTGACAAAACGAATATATCACATGTCCTTCGGCGATGCGCATAAAAATGGATGGGAGCAGCGAGCTTCGGCTGTGTTTCTCAGGCTTTCCAACATCTAGATTTCAAACAATTGATAAATAAAACTAAAATTACTCAGAAGCTCACGCTGATTACTTTTACTGTCTAGTGTTGTAACCGCCATGATAAAATTAATATATCGTCATCCTTCATTGATATGGTTATATAATGGAATGTCAAAGCTATACAAAATAGAAAATAAACGCGAAATATAATTCGAGTGCTATTTTTTGTGCACAAGCACACACCCACACACAAACATATATAAGATGATTATTATTATGATTATTATTATTATTGATTTACTTATCATATGCAAAGCGGTAATCCTCAATGAACTATCGTCAATTATTAAGTCGGGAGAACTCTCTGACCTCTCGCTGCCTTCAGGTGTATTGAGAAAATGTTCAGCTCTTCTTAGCTCGATCATTCCGGCCGCACAGTCGCCTTCAATGAAATTTTACAAAGCCAATGATCATAGCATCACTGGAGATTAGTTTATGGAAATTCATTACTTCTTCTATAAGGGCTTCGATTTTCCCTCACTTATCGTTGAATCGTGGACATTCCGTTTCTTTGCTTGCACTATCCCGGAAGAATATCGTATACATATTATAGATTTTGATTATAGTGTAAACTCTTCAATTTATTTTGTTCTTTAAAATTAAGAATGCATATCGGAAGAAAGAGAAGAAAAGCAATTAACTAAACATTGTTGTTCTCTAATAAGCGTAATGTTCTAAATAAGATGTCGGCATCTGACTAAGGCAAAGGCATTTAAATAGCTTACTAACCGTTCACAATCAAGAACTGTCTGTCGCACATCTATACACATTTGAAAGAATATTTATTGCATCGCCTGGGATATGAATAAATGGATATTTACATTTGATTTTCTCTTTACTTGAATGGTGCTCAAGATTTCATCACGGAAAATAAATTACGAAATTATTAAAACTAATTTTGATCTTTTTATTTTTTTGTTTCGCTATAAAATTCACGCACACTGGGCGTACGTGTTTTTTAATAAAAATCAAACAAAATTATGAAGAACATTTTATCTAAGTTATGGGGCGGAGCAAAATTAGTAAAGAAACATTCCATTGCATGGTAATCACGCCGTAGCCATCGTACCCGATATACACCGGGAGATACGCTGGTTCGTATCGTCGTCAGACAATAAACGTAGCAGAACTTGTTGTTTTATTACTAACGTCCTAGGCGTTCACTTATTAGGTGTTTTAAGGTGTGTTGGTTTTCAGATCCCCTTAGTCATTCCTTGATCTTGAACTCTTTTTTGTTTCGATATTCTCAAAAAATAATTGTCAAGAAGTCTACGATATTGTGCATTAAAAAGATAGAAGAGTAAGTGATATGCTGACCCGAGCTCCTTCGAATCGTGGCAAGCTCGGAAACGATGCATCCTATGAACATGCAACAAAGCGAAATGAAGGGTAACGATGCTATTCG